TATTAAGTACAGAGTGAAACAATCTGAGGTAATCCAGGCAGTATATATATTTGAGTTACGAAAACAAGATTGTTGAGACATCTAGTGTAGTATCGGGCAAAATTTGGAAATTATATGATACATTTAAGGAAATCATTTGTATAGAAATCAGTTTTGCTGCTCTGTATGAACATGTTATGTTCGAATTCTTGTAGGCTCCATTAATGGAGGAGGAGTCAATGGCGACGATGACACCAGAGGAGCGTGAAGAGTATCTGAGAGAGATGGAAGAGAAATTTGGCAAACAAAAGAGAGAAAGAGGAGACAATGTCATCAGAGCCACTGGTGCTGGAGAAGCTGGTGCCTTCTACGTATATGGTACAGCAGAAAGACCTGATCCTCAATCCACAGTCACTGCTGTGGAAGAAGAAGCAAGGAAACGTGAGTGGGAGAGGAAACAAGCTGAGGAACGGGAAAGGATACGACTTGAGCAGGAGAGAGAAGCAGAACGAGAGAGGAAATTACAAGAATGGATTGAAAGCGAGAAGAGAAGGTGAAATGAAGTTTAAAATGCAAAATTGTGCAGTACTGTTTAATTCCCCCAATAATAGCGGTTTTCAAGTGAATGTTGAAAAACAAAAACCAACATAATCCCCACGACAATCAGAACAAAGGTTTACCTTGTCATTGGCCAATTAGAAGTCAATATGGAAACAATTAGACTGCTGGGAAAACGCGAATGACTCAGTCGCAATTGTTAATAGGTTTGTATCTGATTGGTTAAGAGAAAGGCACGATTGTTCTGAACCAATCATAGAGCACCCGAAACAGTGCTCGATTTCTTCAAAGCGCAATATTGACCATTGCTCTAGAACACAATGACTGATCAGTGAGCCTTTAAATCTGGCCATTTTTTTGGCGGATAGAATAACATAAGGCACATTCCGTCTTGACTTTAGGGTTGAGGCAATTGAGCCGCATGAAGCAGGCCCAGCCTATACAGCTCCTGGAGGAACAACTGAAAGGTAATCTGCTGTGATTATTTCTCATGGTCAAATTGAAATACAGAACACCCTAATGTTACACGTAGTTAAGCTTGACATTCATATCTAGTGTGTATATTGTGTCTACCGTTCAATGTATTGTTTTCACATGTGTTGAATGCTGTCTATTTTAGGGCAACTTTTACGATGGAAAAGGTCGAGAAGGAAGAGCCAGAATTTGTCAGCATGGGTGTGGCTACCCCTGTGAGTGGCTTTCACACCATCAAGAGGGCAGAAACGAGGGTAGCTGATACTGATACTTACAAGGGACGTGTCAAGAAGCTGCCACAGGAAGAGGTGGTAAGAATCCATTGATATAGAGTTTTAAAAGTTGACCAAAATCTCCTGCCATTTGTCAGACCTGTTTGGCCAGTTTGATCTTTCCGTTGGGAGAGAGTTCCATCGTTGACAAAAGCATTTTGACCAAAACGATTATTTACTAGAACAATTATTTCATAATTTTTATCAATTCACCTTTTTCAGAAAACTCTCAAATGCCAACTTCTTTTAAGTTGAACATTCTGCCGGCCAGTGAGTACTACTAATGATTAGCACCCCTAACTTTTTTTACGTATATAAGCCATCCACAGTCAACGTAGCCGAAATTAAAGCAATTAAACAGTTTCTGTGAAACAGATGCACTGTAGATCAGGTTAGGTTCCTGTTTTCAACAGTACCAATTATTACAAAGAAATACGAAAGAAACCTGACCTATTGGACTAGGAGGGGCTATCCAGACCTATTGGACTAGGAGGGGCTGTCCAGACCAATTACAGGGCAAACTGGCCTCCTTCGTAGCTTTTCTTTGAGATATCACGCAATAGCCCCCCAGAGCGTTGTTTGACATTCCAAAGAACGGCTGTGAAGGAGACCAAAGCGAACCAAAGCGAAAAGAAAGCAATTTCATATTACTTTTGAGAGTCGATGGTAAAATTGCCTCATAAACGTTGTTATGAGACGTAGGTATTGCATCTTTCCACCATCTTTTTCTGTGGACAGTAGGCAGATTCTCGATTAATTGATAACAGCCTTTTAAGAGCAGCTTTAACTTGAGTTTTTTTAAATCTAAGACCAAAAAGTCACAACAGCCAATTGGAGCGAAGGATGACCTAATCATTAGCCAATGAGAACCNGAGTACTACTAATGATTAGCACCCCTAACTTTTTTTACGTATATAAGCCATCCACAGTCAACGTAGCCGAAATTAAAGCAAATAAACAGTTTCTGTGAAACAGATGCACTGTAGATCAGGTTAGGTTCCTGTTTTCAACAGTACCAATTATTACAAAGAAATACGAAAGAAACCTGACCTATTGGACTAGGAGGGGCTATCCAGACCTATTGGACTAGGAGGGGCTGTCCAGACCAATTACAGGGCAAACTGGCCTCCTTCGTAGCTTTTCTTTGAGATATCACGCAATAGCCCCCCAGAGCGTTGTTTGACATTCCAAAGAACGGCTGTGAAGGAGACCAAAGCGAACCAAAGCGAAAAGAAAGCAATTTCATATTACTTTTGAGAGTCGATGGTAAAATTGCCTCATAAACGTTGTTATGAGACGTAGGTATTGCATCTTTCCACCATCTTTTTCTGTGGACAGAAGGCAGATTCTCGATTAATTGATAACAGCCTTTTAAGAGCAGCTTTAACTTGAGTTTTTTTAAATCTAAGACCAAAAAGTCACAACAGCCAATTGGAGCGAAGGATGACCTAATCATTAGCCAATGAGAACCCTTAGTAAAACAGGAAAACCACAGGAATCGCGGGAAAACACGAGTGTCCAGATCAGGATTGGTTTTAGTTTGAATCTGATTGGTTAAGAAGATGGCGCATGTTTTCTGGACCGATCACAGAGTGAACTTGATTAAAATCGAATCAATTAATTAATTACTCTCGACACTCAATTGAAGACGGGTCTAAACACTTTGTTTACAGGGTCCTGACCCCTCCACAAGGACAAACACATGGGGTGGTGGAAAAAAGGATAATGTATCCTACACCCGAACATACACTAGTGCCACTTTACCGAACCGAGGAGCAAGAACAGGCTTTGAAAGCAACATGACGTCTGGTGAGGACAGGAGACGTAGTGCCGAAGATTTGTTGGAGAACAATGGACAGGAGAGAGGTTCAAGACAAGGAAAAGTACCTCTGGTGAATAAGGATGAGCTAGTGAGGTACTACTCACCCGGTTCTGCCTTAAGTGACACTCTGCGAACTGACCCCGCTCAGCACGAGATCAAGAGATCACTGAAAGAGGATCTCAACTTGGAGCACGAGCAAGGCGAGGGTGGCTTTGTTAGGGAGAGCATCAGAAGAAACGAAGGCTTCATTGCAAAACAGACCGTGCGGAACGACCTGGACAGTGCTCCACCCGAGATCACCACCAAGACCATGATCATCGATAATGACAGAGACCCGGCAGTGTATCGTCAGAACAGAGCTCCCGAGGTAGAGACGCACGTGTTGTCATTTGGAGGAAGCAGTGGACAGCCAGGAGTTAAACAAGGTACTCCCTATCGCTTTAGTGACTTCACCCAGGATGGTTCTCCTGAGCCATATTCACCACATTCAAGACATTACAATGTGCCCAGCGTCACCACACAGAGAATTGTGTATGACCAAAATGGACCTCCCGTTAGTCCACCTTCGAGTGGTTAGTAAACGATTCCCAATTAATTTCAGTATCTGAGCAAATGCGTACCCACCCCTCCCCTAACCTTGAAATGAATCCTAACCTGTAAGCCGTGGCCTTTTGTTGGGTTAGGGGAGGGGTAGGTACGCAGTTGGTCAGGTACTGACATTAATCCCAAGATTCCCTAGCAATTTCTTCTCGACAAATGACGTGATATTCAGGTACAACAACCTTTGTGCGCTAGCAAACTAAACTTGCGAAGGAGTTCACATGGAGTAGACTTTTCCTCGAACCTCATTACAAATTCCTTATCAAATGTCTAATCAAGTCATTTAACTCCACTAAGTATCGTCTTCAATATAAGTGCTTTCTCCTTCGTAAGTCTCCTTGTTAAAAAAAAAAGACTGGCTTGTCATTCTGTTTTCACACGGAGACTTGGAAAGTTTTCACGGAAAAGCTGTCTCATAGTACTAAAGCGCTTCTCAGGGAAACTTTTCGAGGAAAAATCTGTCACGGAGAACTTGCTAGTATAATGCCATATTCAAACTTTCTTGAGCCACTGCATAATTTTGGTGTCAGTTTAAGAACATTACATTCAAACACGGACAAGCTCTCAGCGTTTCTGTCTACTTAGTAAGAAGAATTAGGAAACCGGTAGAAAAACCCCGACAATTAAAGATGCCTGTGTGAGATTCAGTTTTTGCACTTATACGGAAATTATCAGAATCAGTTTTTTCCTCGATGGATACAATCACTTTTTTGAGCCCCCTTAAAAAAAGTCAAGTTGATCTCTGCTTGCGCACATTTCCAAAACTTGTATTGACATAAGTTCAAAATTCTTGGAGATTAACGAAGGATATCGCATTTCGGCTAAGTGAGACTTAAAAGTCAAGTTGATCTCTGCTTGCGCACATTTCCAATACTTGTAACGACGAAAGTTCAAAATTTTTGGAGATTGACGAAGGATATCGCATTTCGGCTAAGTGAGACTTAAAAGGCATGTCTCCGTGACAGCTGTTCTTTGGAGAGTAACGCAACCCTCTCCTGAGCAAAAGTTTTAAAGAGGGGAACCTAGCATTATATTCCAAAGAACAGGTGCGAAAGAGAATGAGTTAGTCGGTCATAGCCAAAGGAATTCCCTTGCTTTTTCCATCTACGTTCGCTAGATATCACTTCATTCTGAAAAAAACACTTATTTGTTAACTACGCATGATGTAAATTTTTGTCTTAATAATTAATTGTTCGACTTTTACTCAACAGGAACCCAAGATGGCGGCACGGTGATTACTCGTACCATTATGATGGGTGGAGCAGAACCCACTAGAACAGAGACTATTCGTCAGACCACCATGCCCACTGAGATCATTCAGAAGACAATCACCATCGAAGGTGATGGAAATCAGCTGACTGCCGNGAGACGTATCAAGAGGGACACTAGATAGTATTAAAGAACTTGTAGACGTCAAGGCAGATAAGATCTTACTAGATGTGCAAAAGGCAGTCATTTCAAGTACCCTAACATTACACGGAGTTTCAAAGTTCTCACTGCGATACAATTCACATCTTTTTGGGTTTCTTATGTCATTTGAAAATTTCTTTAATTTACTAATTATTTTAGGCTGTGGTAATGACAAGTACGCGATTGCCCTTACTCAACAAAATTAATTACCTTAATTGATAAAATGATAATAATAATGAATAAATAAAATAAAATGTGTTTATAAATAAATGTAAAAAGAGTCAAAATCTTAAAACCGATAACTAATTGAAATATCAAAGTTTACTGGAGCTTAGTTCTTTCTCCTTCTCTCCCAAAGACCCCTGTTGCTCTGTGGTAGAACAACTCAATCATGAAGCCGGTGGATACTCTTTTGATTCCAGCTACACTCAAAATATTGGTGTTTTGGCGATGACGTATTGAACTAGTGTGAGCTTCGAATAACTCATTTACTCAAGAAATGTCTCATTCCTTTTCAGACTTACACAACCAAGGTTCAAGAAGTGAAGCAAACGAAAACAATAACAGAAACCATGAGGGTTGTGGATGATGACGGAAACATCATCAAAACTGGAGACCCTGACACTGATGCTGTAAGTGATTTCTCTATCATTACCATAGTGGCGCCAATGAACTCTCTTGTCGGTCGAACTATTGTGACTTTTGTCTTGAAAGTATGTTTGAGCCCACGGTAAATGAATTGAAGGTTCCTAGGTAACTCTGTGACGCATGATTGTAAATTGTTACTGACGTCACACGGCTCACGCTTGAATCCCTAGCAACACTCGCTGACGCCACAAAAGAAACTCTGGAATATGAACAAAATTTCCCAGCATTGGGTTCGCATACTAAATGTTGGACGATTTTTTTTTGCACAAGAAGGCAATTTTTTTTCTTAACCGCGGTTCCTAAGTTGCAAATGATTTTCATGTATTTTTTATTTATCTATTTATACTTGCATTTTTGTTTCTTAGTTGATTTAAAGTTTTTGACTGAATAGTTTGTTTCCCAAGCTTAAACTCTGAGAAAGTTTAACAACTCAAAGCACTGTCCTCATTGCACTTGCATTATAATTTTATGTAGGCAATTTTCGAGGCCATCCAGCGAGCAAAGGAAGAGAACCCTAACGCTAAAATCACCGAGGTCGTTATAACCAGGACTGATGAAGAAAGCAATGCGTAAAGGTAACGTTATTTCGTTATTTTCAGCGACTTCTTTCCACCGTCCGAGTTTTAAATGTTATACAGATTATTCTTCTTTCCAGCTGCATATTTCTTCGGATAATTTTAGTTCTCTCCTGACCTTTGATAGATAGTGAAAGTTATTGCTGTTCATAAGACTTTCGTTGCATTTTTACTGGGTCTTGTTTATCCACGCACTTGTTGTTGTGCACTTGTTTTTTTTTTTAACCGTGATTCACTGAGATCTTTTTGTTCCACTTTGATTTTAGTTTTCGGGTTGACATTAAGCTCATTCAATCTTACTTTTTTTCGTTACCCCCACCGACGCAGCCCCAAACAGTTTCTTTAGAAACTATCAGCCTTCATTTACTTTTTTGATGTTTAAAATCCCTTTGTCATTTCAGTCCTATTATTTTTTTTATCTCAAATTTCTCCTTGAAAATGTCGAAATCTTGATGTACGATTTTCCATCCACAACAGGTAAAATGCACGGACCCCTTATGGAACTGCAGTTGACTAAGCCGACGAGTACTAGAAGAACGCCGCTTCCCTAAATTGTGACACGCTCGTTAAGGATATATTATAAAAGTTGAAGATGTAAAATGAGTGGTGTTGGATTATTGAAGAGCACATTGTGGTACAGTTTTAATTAAACCTAGTTAGTTCGAGATGTTGAAAGGGAGTACAATATAAACCTTTGAATGTTTTTTTAAGAGTAGTCCAGCTTTGTTAGGTATTATATTATTAATGTGTTTTAAATTTTAGGAAAAGGCACAACCGCACGTTGTTATTTGGTAGTTAGCTCTTTAAGATTGTTAACCTGAGGCCAGCTTGTTGTCAGAGCAACGGCTCAGCCAGTGAAAACTGTTTCATTTGTGACGAAATTTAGGCAAGATTGTTTTCGTCAGATACAAATTGTTTTGAAAAGAGCCTGTCTTTACAAAATTATCCCAAATCTTGATAACTACCAGTTATATTTTCTTGTTCTAGTTTTCATGGATATTTTT